AAATGAGAAACTATTTTGTTCTGTAAGCCTTCATCTTAAGTGAGAATAACAGCACAATTGGAAGAGCGTAGTCAATGTCACTGAACTGTGTATTTTGAAACGGTGTATCTTTGGCTATGTGTATTTTCACCAAAAAAAAAAAAAAAAAAAAGAAAAAAGGTTGAGAATTTAAAAAAAAAAAAATATCCCCGTAGTTAGTTATAACAACAAAAACATTTTTCGTAAGCCAAGCTTACATGTATCAATATACCTACAAGGCTGAAACTCTATGCTAGTTTACTTTTTGAACCTTCTAACGAGCTCCGTCAGAGCTGTCATTATTACCCACTTACAATGACGCTTCAAATCACGTGATTTCATCTGCACGCACTGCAACCACACACTGTTATGTTGATAGTCTCTGATTTTGTCAAAATTTCAAGTGTTTTACAGTATTGTGGTAATTAGTATCTGTGAACCTATCATCAATAACTTTTTTGTGACTGAAGTAGTAATTAAAGGAAAAGAAGGAGAAAAGAAAAGGCTTCTGCTCAGTTACTAATAGTGTTGTAACTAATAACGTAATTCAATGTAGAAAAATTTTACAAAACAATTTTGTTGTTAGTATTCGTATAATCTAAGAAATATTACATTTAAGCAATTTACAACTGTATTTATCACATATTATTCTATGATTAAAATTGATAATGAACATTTCTAAGGATTCCGTACGGTCTGGTACAGGAGGAGCTCCATGGGGGTGGGGGGGTGACACCATGGGTTACTGCGCTGGGTGACACCAATCCTAGTGACGCCACTGCATTCTTGTGGGAAATTTTCAAAAAATGATCCTTACCAAACATTGTATGTGGCATTAATGTACTCTTACAACTGATCCTTCTCTCTCCCTTTTTGTTTTTCTTCCAACATCAAAATAATACTATTTCCCCTGAGGTTTGTTCAACTGTTCAGCCTTGTCTTGATTTTGCCACAAGGTGGGGTACTGTCTCCTTTTAAGCCACAGGCCCTGAGGCGAGTTTTCCTTTCTCACTGAGGTGATTGTCTTGCCCTCTCATTCTAGAGTGACTGCCAGAGAAATTCTGAGCCCTGACTAGGGGTGAGGGAAGGCGGGCCAGAAGAGTGTTAGATCTGAGATAGTCTCCTGGCTTTTCATGCCTGACCTTGTTGAGGTAATATGCTAATGGTTGTGTTTCATAGGTTTTGAGTAAACTTGATTTTGCCAGAAATACATGTATTTGGCAACAAGTGACTCAAGTTTTTCTTGGCATTTTCAAATTTATAGTTTAGAAGAAATAGTAATTTAAGTTTAGAAAGCCTAAGCAGTAAGTTAAAATCAGTCTTATTTATATTAAATAGAAACCATGAAAGCAAGTCATTAGAATTAAAACTGTTCTTGGAGTTAAGAAGTAGGAGAAAAATTGTGTATTCTGTGAAAGCATTATGTTAAAAAACTGAGCATGGATACTTACTCTTTCTTAGGCAATATGTTAGCGTTATTGATTCTGTTTTAAGATTTAATTGCTTTAAGGAAATTATCGATTATATTTTTCTACAATGCAAAAAAATTAAATTTCTTACCTTGAAACCACAGTGAGTTTAAAAGGCAACTGATTCTTTTTCAGGGCTTTGAACCCCTGCTGAGAATTTGTGTTTCTACTCCTAGATATATTTAATCAGAACTACAGTTTAACATGATCTCCAGGTGATTCTATGTATAATAAATTTTGAGAACCACTGCTCCACTAGTGGTTCTCAGAATTGGTCCCTAACCAGCAGCGTTAGCGTCACCTGGGAACTTGTTAGAAATGCAAATTCTCGGCAGGGTTTCAGACCGGAGTGAACTGGTTCGAAGCCCTGCTTTTTGTTTTATAAATGTACCCTGAGTTAGATGGTAAAACTGAGTTACAAAAGTGATTTTCAGATTTACGGACACCAAGTCAGAACCAAAAGTCAGGAGGTTCGTTGGTGAACCTTCCTCTTTAATTTGTATTTTAATATTTTTTTGGACTTTAGCGATTGATGACGTTTTAGGCGTGTTGAATGGGATCACCCCGACAGTCACTAACAACAGCAGCAATACAATGCTGTAAAAACATCTGAAAATAGTGATGCCGTGTGAATTTGATTCTTAGAAACAGTAACTTCATGCGTCCCTCTTATGCAGTGTGAAGTTACAGTGCTGTATGTTCACCACCACCACCCAACTTTCACAGCAATGTAAAAGTCGTTCCATGGCCCTCATGGAGGGCAGACTGTATGCGCCTTGTTAGAAATGAATCAGTCACTTTAATACAGTGTCTGAGGGGAGGGAAGATCATGAGAGTTCTCTTTGTTTAAGTTTGTGTTAAAGTTTTCTTGGGCAGCAAGTACAGAAAGGAAGCCCTATGCCTTAGCTCATTCTGTGTGTGAGTTTTCTTTCTCACAGCCGTGCGGTGTCTATTTAACATATGGGGAGTGGTTTCAAGTTCGTTGCTAAATCTTATAGGCTAAAGTGCTTTGTGGGCTTGGCTAGGACTTAAGTGGCCTTTAGGGAGTCATTCTGCCCTGAGCTTGAGAACAGGATTGCGTTCCCTGTTTATGTGGATTTTCAGGGTAGTAAAGTTTTTTCCCCTCTTGGCTGTCAGCTGCTTTGGAGATTAGTTTCATAGTAAGGATTCTGTATTTAAAGCAATATGAAGCGACTACTTCCACAGGGGCACCAGGTTAGTAAATCACGTTTTGAACTTTGTGCCACACATGTCAGATTTTCTTTCTGTGCTCGGGGGCGGTGGATATGACAAGGACAGGGTACAGTTATGCTGTTTCTGCCTTCCTTTTGAAAATCATGTGACTTTGTTGATCCTACCGGGATTTGGGGGGTTCTGTTTCTCCTTATTATGTATGCATTGTTTACAAAATTAAATACAAATGGAAGCCAAGAAGAAATGACATACAGTATATGTTTAGAGTTGCAGCCTAGAGATTTGTATTTGTTTGTGAGGATTTTCAGTTCCTTTTCTGGAATTCCTTTCCTTGTGTCCTCCCATTCAGTCTTCTAGACATCACGATTTTATGCACGGTTGGTTTCATTTTTTTTTTTTTTTTTTTACACATTAGGCAGCAGTATGCGGTGGCCCAGTCAGCGTCACTGACCCTCCCCACACTTGTACAGGCTTGTCTGATGCATGGTTTCCCCCTGGGCCTACTGCTTACAGTTACAATGAACCAGATACACCTTCAATTTTCTGTCTGAAAAGTCAGATATGTGTCTCCCGTGCCTCATAAAATACCTGCCTGAGAAGCGATCTGGGCAGAGCGGACAGGTGGATTACGCCAGCCTGAATGTTGTCACTATGTTTGCTCTCAGAAGACCAGATTAGAGTAGGGGTAAATAATGACTGTAAAACTGGAGTATGAATAGTAGTAAAATGAAATTAAGTCAACAGAATTAAGTATCAAGAGAATATCTTCCTTAACCTCATTAAGTTAAAGACCTAGAGAGCAATTCTACCTTTGTTAATTTGTCGCCAAAACAATCCCATGTCAAAGTGTTCTATGAAAGTAGTTCAATTAAATGGTGTTTTGAAGTTTGCAACACTTTATGAAATATAGCTTCTCTTGCTTCTCTTATATCTCAAGTATGCTTCGACTCGACGGTAATGGGTTTGTTTTTTTTTTTTTTTTTTTTTTTGGTTAGTTCAATGTAATTTCGTGTTTAAAATACACTAGCATGCTTCTGTTACTGCCATTTTATTGTCCTCTTTTCTTCCCACTGGGAAACGCTGCGTATCAGAAAAGAACCGGTTCCTTCATGTTCTCCTCTGTTAAAAAAGGCAAAAACAAAAACAAAAAAACTGAGGGAGAAGGGAAGCAGAAATAGATACTAAAAAAAAAAAAAAAATCATTGAGGTGAATCTGCTACACTTTAAGTATCCCAGTTCACATCTATGCTGAGGCAGAACTTGTGGGAAGTTATTATGGCTGCATTGCCATTTCAGGATTACAAAATTGATGGTAATTTATTCCCCCAAAACACAATTGTACAGCTGCAGTATTGTCTGTCTCTGGAGATATTTTCTTTAACAACAAATCCATTAGATCAGTTTAGCTTTCCAAAAAAAAAGCAAAGATCGCTGTGATTTGCTTTATATTTACTATTACTGCCTATATGTGCTATTATGCTATATTAATGCTATTAATTTAAGTTTTAAAAGAAGATCTTTGTAGAGATGATTGTAACTGTTCAATGATTTTAAAGAAAAATGTTGTCATTTTACTTATTGATTATTTGTGCTTAATGGGTATAGATGAGTTTTTAAAAGTTTACGCAAAGCTCATTTATGTCTTAAAGATCTTAATTTCTGTGTTCTCAAGTGCTTCATACCTTTTCACCTTGAGGTAATAACAAAGCAGGATCCCATTCATTAGAAACAGAAATAAACAATATGGTAAGGGATAGGGTAAAAGGGAAACTCCCTAAAAACCAGATTTTAGGGTTTTCCCAGAGACAATTGACATTAAAACAAGTTTCCGGCAAAAGTGGGGTCGGAGTGGTACAGTGGTCTGCTAAAAATCTGTAATTTGGGGATAAAGTATCTAAGTAAATCTCAGACTACTTCTGTTTCTGGGCTTGGATCACACATTGCAATTCTTCTTATCTTGCCAAACTGGTTTAGTTCTACTACACCTCTGACTTTTGGCTCAAGTCAAGTAAAGACACATTTTTCTCACTCCATACCATCTAATTTTAGGTTAATCCTTGAACTGATTAATTTTTATCCAACAGGATTTCCTGCTGATACGCTTTAATTGGCTCATAAATCTCAGGTGGTTTATGAGCCTTGCTGATGACCCAGAAACATGTGATTCCAATTTGCTTTAAAACGCTTCTGTGTTTCAATGTTGAAGACAATGCATAAACAAACTATTTCAGCTTGAACTGGCCCACACCTTAAACAACAGGAAAATTGCACGGCAGTAGAAGACAAGGAATCTGAGGAGAGAAATAATAACTGGGAGTGACTGTGATACTCAAAGTGAGCTTTCAGACTGCTGAACCTTGGTTGATTTTTGCCTAATAGGCCAATTCTGTTCACACCCCTCTTCTCTGGCATGCCTGCCCATAGTCTTTATGCATATGTGTGTGTGTGGTAAATATGTAGGTAACAAAACATTTACCATTTCAACAATTGTCACATGTGTAGTTCACGGACATTAGTTATGTACATCATGTTGTTCAACCATCACCATTAACCGTTCCTGAATTTTTTCCATCACCCTTAACAGAAGCTCGGTGTCCCTTAAGCTTAGTGTCTTCCTTTCCCCTTCCCTCCCGCCCTTGGTAACTACTGATAAACTTGATCTCTATACATTTGCCTATTCTAGATAGTTCATATAAGTGGGATCATGCAATATTTGTCCTTTTGTGGCTGACTTATTTCATTCAGCGTAAATGTTTCCAAAGTTCATCCATCAAGACTTCATTTGTCTGTACGGCAGAGTAATATTCCATGGTATGTATGTACCGCATTTTGTTTATACATTTGTCTGTTAATGGACAGGTAAGCTGTTTTCACCTTTGACTGCCCATAGTCTTGATTCTTGTGGTGGACGGCTTGGGAGGTGTAGAAGCTTAATGTACAGTTTATAGCTTTGTCAGATTCATTTAATGGTGACAATCAGCTGTCTTTTCCGTGCTCCACAACCCTGGTTCCAGCCTTAACCCTGCTGAATTCATTGTTTTAGAAATGACAGTAAATACTAATTTTCCAGAAGCGTTGAGGAAACGTTACTGCCAGCGCTGATCTGACCACAGATTTCCTCAGTTCCCCATTTCATTCTGAAGCACTCAATTTAAGTTTGCCCGTCTGACATTTCATGGGGGATGGTAGTAGTAGTGATCGCAGGAGTTGTAGAGGTTGTGGTCATTGTAATAATAATAACAACTGTCACTTAGATAGTGTTTCCTAAGCGCAGCCACTGTTCTAAGTCACTTATTTAATCCTTACAACAGCCCCAAGAGGGTGATTGTCTTTATCATCCCCGTTTTACAGTTGAGGAAACTGTCCCAGAAAAGTTAAGTATTTTTTCCCAAGTCACAGCAGTTAGTAAGTAGCAATCCAGTATTGTGCCTCAGAGGAGAACTGTGGTGGAGAGGGGGGACTAATAAGACAAACTGATGTTCTTGTAAAGTATAATCCAATGTTTATTATTAATGAGAAGCAGCCATGTAAATATTCATATCAGTGCAGTTCTTCATAATCAAAGATACTTCTGTTAACCCACTGCCCACCAGTTAGGGATGTCCTTTGTGTTGTTCTTCGGCTGGGGTTGGGGGGCAGACAGCTTTTGCTCTACTTTCTATTCTTCTGATGACCAATGGCAAGAACCTGGTGACCAGTGGCAGCACCTAGAGGTTGCCTGTGGTCAGAATGTGGGACCAGTGGTGACCAGTCCATACGGAGAGTAAGCCCACAACATTGACTTACTGCTCCTCTAACTAGTTAAGCTAATCTTAGAACTTATGAGACTTTTTAAGGCTAAAATAATAAAACTACTAACACTAAGAATTTGTACTTTCTGGTTGTTCAGTTTTAATTCGGCCTGTATGAGCGTCCTCTTCATTCTTGCCCAGTATGACGTCCTGCTGATAATCGAAGCTCTGGTTATTTTGTTAGCCCTGAAGGCTTTCTGAGGCTCAGTGGAAAGCCAAGATTATGAGGCACGCATTTCCTTTAAAGACATAAATGTGCATTTGAAAAATTCTGGGCAAATAATTTACGATAGATTCAACTAAAACTTAAACATGTAACAAATACATTTGGAATCTTTCAAAATATATAAAAATGTAGCCCGAATAGGTTAAATAGTTAAGTGTTAAAAAGAAAATGAAACTATATAAATTCTGATCTTTGGATGGGGAAGCACTTTCTCTTCCTAAAACTAAATGAGGTAATCACAAAAGGAAAAGGTCAATAAATTTGAATTTTCTAGATAGCAATGAAAAAGCTTTAAGTACAAAGATATGTACTGAAGCATTATTTATAATAACAAAAAATTGGAATAATCAAAACATATAGTAGTAGAAGAAGACTCCATTATGGATCATTGTATAACTGGTAAAATTATATTTATGAAAAATTGTAATAACAGGAAATGATGATATGTCTTTAAGTTAAATAGCTGGGGATTAAACTATTTGTTCAGCACATACTTGGCCATGTTTAAAATATTTCCATCATGTATGCACTATGCCTAGGGAGATAGCAGAAATGTTAGCCACCTTAAGTTAATAGCGGTTATTTTGTTGGTAGGATTCCTGGTGGTTTATATTTTCTTCTTTATATTTTTCTACATATTACTATTTTTAAGCATGATTACTTTATATTCAAAAAAATAAAGGGAAAAAAGACTATTCGTGGAGGAAAAAAAGTGAGAATAAAATATACCAAAATTTTATAGTAAGTTAACGTTGCTCATAATCTATTTGATGTGACTCTTAAGAATGATTTTAGTTTCCTCAAATTTTTTATAAATTTAAGTTTTTCTTAATAAGAATTTATTATTTTTATTTAAAAAATTAAAATAGATTAGGAGTTACAGGCTAGAGTTGAGATAAGTTCAATTTTTATAAAGCACAGGATCATTTTACTTTGGAGAACAATTATTTTGCTACATATAAGCATTATTTTAGGAAACTGTTTTAATTTTTATGCATCAGGTT